GGTCTGACACAGACAAAAAATTATCATTCTAGAAAGTTTTCCTTATCTAATATGCAAAGAAATATATTTAAGATTTCATTACATTTCACATATATCCTTACAGAAACTCTTTTTCGCTAGTGCAAACCAGACATGTCCAAAGGGATAAATATTAAATCATACCATTTCAGTAGCTGTTTTTAGAATTGAATTTTCTGTGACACAGGCTATATTATCCACATGTTCTTAGCAAAAACTAGAACTAGAACTAGCTCATTTGCACTGATTTGAAAAACTCAAGCCATCAATTTGTCTACCTAGCTCTTTCTGACGGCCAATAATTGAGCACTGGAACACCCCCACAACTGCAGTGTTTGTATACAGATTCTAGCTCAAATGAGTTTTATCCCTAACACTTGAATTCCTCGGATTCTCCTATCTAGATAATACATATGACCGTTGATTGCTGCAATATTTGAAGTTATGGGATTTATTACACACTAGTGAGCATCTAGTGAGATGAATTCTTGGGATTTTCCATACCCTTGGGGAAGGGCGTAGTCCACTGAGGACAGTGAACGATGGGCTGGTCTGGGTGAATGTCCAGAGGAAAAAGTAGTAGCAGTAGAGAGGCACAGAAAGTATCTACCTCCTGTATATACCTCTGTATTGAATACACAATATAAAACATATGGCCGATAGCGTTAAAATAACGCATTAAAGAAAGAGGGGTGGAGAATATTCTTTCTCCTATTAACTACATTGATTTTATGATTAATGTGCCTCCATAATATATACTAACATTTACGAACTTGCATAAAAGTGATGTAGTCTATTATTTTTAAAATTGAACTTTTTAAAAAATATTTTGAACTATATTTTTAATATGTTTGACTTTAATTGGCTGCTAAGGTATTGAGTCTAACCAGTCATTACTACTGCTACAATGAAGACCATTTAAATCCACTGCTTTAATGTAAGTAAAGAAACATACCCTTCACCTGATGTATGCTCTCCAAGGCAACAGACCAAATTTCAGTGCATCGGTTTAACAGAAAGTCAATTTAATTCTGCTTGACCAAAAATCAGTGCCTATTGTTCCAAAGCATGCAATCATCTCGTAACATATTGTAACTGCTGCTGAAATGCCCTGCTGTTATTGATAGGAATCCACACTTTGATGAGAACAAAGAGGACTGCCAGAATCCTTGTAAAAAGTAAAAAAGCTATCTAGCATACAACTTTCAGAACCTGCTTCTAATGCATGAGTGCAGGGGCTATCATATGGATGGGCTGACATAATCAAATCTTTAGAAACAGATGAGAAATAAGCACATTATTTTTCATTTATTAGCACCTCATTTATGATTTCCAGTTAACACAGACCCACAAAACTACGCCAAAGAGATACTAAAGGCTTGATTGAGCTATCCTGATTCAAGCAAAACCCATACTCAAAGTCCTTTTGAAGCCTTTCTGCTTCTGCCAGCTCTTGCAGTTTTTATTGCAAGCCTTGCAGTACTTATGTTTTGCTCAACATTCTGGCTCCTGGAGTTACATAACATGTGAATTTCCTTCTTTATTTTCAATTTTAGAAGTTCACTGCTTCCGTAATTGAACTTGATAATGAGCCTTTTAAAAAAATGTCGAAAGCAACAGTGACAAAACAAAAATCTTAAAACTATGTTATACTGCCGAATAATTTCATGAAGTGGATGGTATTCTTAAGCCAAATTCATGATTTCTAAGTCTCAATGCATATTTATGGCTCACCAAAAGTTGGCAATACCTCCTTTCCCTTAACAGGAGTCTTGCTCTTGAAACACGTTATGCTGGGGATTTCTTTCCATGCTCAGTGCGTGAGTTTTCACACATTTTCATCCACAGGAGAAAGCCAAATTTTGAGAATACCTTCTAAAAAAAAAAAAAGATGTCTTTTCAATTACGCTTTGGAAGCAGCTGGAGAGAATAAAAGCTGGAGCCCCTCTGGCTGTGGGAAGAAGGGGAGGGAGCTGCTCTATCCCATGCAGCGCAAGGAAGTAAAGGGGCTCCCTCCATGCTCAGCTCCTGTCCTAGTGGCCACTACTTCTCCCAGGTAGCAATGGCGAAGAGCAGAGAAAACCTCCCACCCACCATCCAGGTTCTTGCTGGGCACCTGTCACCCTCTTGGGGCCAGCTGGGCCCTCCAATCCTTAAACTGCTTGCTGCAAAGTGTGCGTTTGCCTACAAGGTGAGCCATAGGTCGCTGTTGCTTGGAGCAGCTCCCTTCCGAGAGCCTTGAACAAAAAACAACTAGTAAATTATTCCTTGATGGCTCCAACTCTGAGTGTAGCTTGTTACACCAAAACACCTTGCTACCTTTTGTGTTTCCCTCTTCTTCCCAGCTAATAATTTCCTAACCTTTTTCACCCCTTACCTGATACCTTTTGTTTATTCCCTAAGCTATTGGAGGCAGACACTGTCACTTGCTAGGTGGTTATGCAGTGCCTTGCACAAAGGTTGACAGCTTGGGATGGTATTAGAATCAGAAAGCGGGGTGGGATTTTCAAGGCACTAAAGAAAATTAGGCATTCATCTACCACTGACATTCAATAGGCTTTGAATACCGTTCTCCCCTTCAAAAATCTACATTTACAAGTATAATTATTAAGATGTCTGCCATCATCAAAACACCCATTGTTAAAATATGACTCGGCCTCCAAGAAGGGAAAAGCTTCATTTACAGCAGAGTCACTAACAAAAAACATTTTTTTTTCCAGAGGCACTAAGATTCCGTTTATCTGGAATTACGCACAACAGCGTTCAACGTACACTTTGGCAGCATCACGTCTGTCTTGTTATATCATTGCACTAGTTAGGTATCTGCTGCGAAGCACTCACTCAAATTTAAGTACTAACACTGCAGTTTGTTTAAAAAGAACATTTCCTATAAATAGAGATTTCCATGATCTTCTTTAAGTAAGTATTGGAATCTTTACCTGAATTCAAGACCCCTCTAAATGGAGCCAACAATCTCTGATTAGATCATTTGCTTCTATTCTATTTCAGACAGGCACTGGTTTGCATTACTATAGTTTTTTTTTCATTAGCAATTGCTATTCACTGCATATTTGCTTTAGTAACCTAATTAATGCCAGAAGGTTAACATTTCTTCTTTTGCATTACAGCATGTCAGTGTAGTTGGCACTCTCAGAGAGGTTATGTACAAATACAAATCAGAAAACTACTTAAAAGGACAAAAATGAAACAGAAAATAAAAGTACATTTTCCATGAGACGCTGAGTGCTTCATCTCCCCTGACCTGAAGATGGAACATGATTACTCAGCACCCAGCAAGACTATCCTGGGAGTCCTATGGGCAGTAGCACAGAATTTGCTTCATTTTAAGGAAAGAAGAAAATGAGTACTAATTAGGAGAAGAAAATACGTTCTGAATTTAATTTAGTATCTTCCTAGGTCTGAGTTTGTTGCAAAAATAACATAGCAACCTCCAGATGAATTTTGGCTTTAACACTGTGATCTTATCAATCCCTTCAAATCAAATCACAGGCGTGATTGCAAGCGATGATCCAGTGCAGTCCCTGACTAATCATACAGTCATAATGCCAACACACATCCTATGAGGGAGAATACGTAGATCTAGCTAACGAAAACCACTGTAAATGCTAAGTTGTAGACACAGCTTGGCCCTGCGAAGCTGTCTTGAATGGGCTGCCCTGAGGACTTGCAAGGACTTGCTAAGAGGTGAGGGAGGCTGGGCATGCACCTTAGGTAAGCAAGTAAAATTGTAATAAATTTGTGTTTATTTAAACATACAAGTCAGCCAGTTTTAATTTGAACTTTCTGCCTCATTTTATAAAAGTGAAAGGTGTTATTGCTTTTATCTTGTCACCACAGTTTTCAGTGTGATATAAAGTGCAAAAAACAGAAGCATCAAGTTTGATGCCCTGATGGAATCCAAACACAGAACTGTGGCTTTACACAGAGAACAGTCAACTTCATGGCAGCCTCTGAGCCTAATTGGTATGCTCTCCTCTGTTCCTGGGGAAATTAACCTCATTCATCACAGCGTGCTGCTGCTCCTCCCTACAGCCCCTGATGCTTTCCTTGCGCCTTGCCCTACTTCTGGATCTCAGAGCGGAGCTGCCACGGCTTAGCGGCACAGCGGGATCACAAGCAAGCGTGTGAACCAAGGGAATATAGGAAAAGTTTTTGGCAGACCTTTTTCTTTTTTTTTTTCCCCTAAACTTTTCAAGTGCAGAACAAATGCAAAAGAGTCTTCCCTGCCAGTGCACTTTCCCTGCCAGAAACCGGCCTGTTAAGATGCAATTTAAAGCACAAAGCCTCCATGCTATGACGCAGAATACCCACAAGTTATTAGGCATTAAGCTACTTAATGCACTCACCTTTTTTCCCCATCTCTTTTTTCCAGATAATTAAATTCTCCCATACATTATACAGAGATAGTGACAAAGCCTGAAAGCTACTAAATATATCACCGAATTCATGAGATGCAAATAGCCTCAAAAAACAGTAAACAGCAGTCGCCTACTTGAAGCCTGAGGCTCACTGGGGGCACAACACTCTATTCGCATTGCAGCAACAGCCTCTCCCAGGATATTCTCCCTGGGAAGATGCTTAATCATGGGAAGGAGAAAGTGCTAATGCCCGCTTTTCCAGACTCTGCCAACTTTTTGCCTTCTCATCTCCTCCCTGATGTCTCTTCAAACTGGTTGTCGTTTCTGTGTCTCATGGATCCGCTTACCACTGTATTAGATTATCTCTAGTTTCCTAAATCTTCTATTTCTACACTGAAACTAACCTAGGCACCAAAGGAGGAAAAAAATGATATTTAAACACTAATGAAAATCACATCCCAGGGCAACTTACAGTTCAAAATTTTCATCAGAAATATATGCATTTCTCCCATTGGAATAATTTCATCTGTGCAGTGAATGCCATGTAGGAGACCGTACTCAAAGAGGAGAAAACACTTGCAAAAGACACAAAAGCCAACTAACCTGTCCAATAGGTTCTTTTGTTGGGGTCTTTCCTCTTCTAGCAGTGCTTGTGGCCAAGGTGGTGGTTGTTTCTATGACTGACGTCGACATTTCAGACTGCATTGCTGTGGCTGTGGACTCAGTTGTCATAGAAGAAGGCACTTCACCAACAAGTCTCACATTTCCTTCTATCACGATGTTGGCATCATTTTCAGCTGCCATATTCAAAACTTTCAAGCCATTGTAGTAAAGGCCAGAGAGCTGGCCTTGGAATGGATGGCCACGTTCCTTGCCTCCAATTTTTATGGTTGCTTGGCTATTGAAGATTGTGAGCTGACGCCCTGCAAAGATAATATTATATACATGCAAAAATGTTGACTGTGAACTCTATACTCTATGGGGATGATAACAAATTTTTATGGGGTGAGTAATGAGAGCAATAAACTACAAGAAAAGAATTTAACTCATAATTCATTGCTTTTTAATGAGGTGTCCATGAAATGCATAAATTTTGGGAGTATTTGCATTTTCTTAATTTGCCACATTTTGGGATATTTTGCTAAAATGCCAATCAAATACATTTGCAAATGCGTTTATCACTTTTTATCCTTTTTATCTGAATGCAGTGTAAAGCTTTTTGGTGTGTGTCAAGAATATCAGTTTCCAATTCCTTAAGATTACTTTTTCTTCAAGACTGTCAACATTTCAAAGATTTTTCCATGCTATACATAGGGACTTTAGTTTAAGTATGTACATGTGAGTTTGTGTATGCACACACATATAAAAATATGTATATACACACACAGTGCTTGTATATGCATAAACATGTCACTATACAACGTGAATTTTCAAGAATGTATTATGTGGTAATCTGTCATAGCTATAAGTGGATAAAATATTTACATTTCTAATCAAATGTTTCCTTTTTGTTTTTGAATGTTTATTTTCCTTCGTCATACACACTGAAAAGAAACACATGGTTCACACTGAGTATCTCAGAGGCAGAGAATTCAAAAATAGATGTCTGATTGGCTTTCAGCAAGACTATCAATTAAAATAAAAGATTTTAGATGCAAAAGCGGCTTCAGAAATGATACACATACCGATGGAGAAATCATGGCACATTTCCATTAAACAGAGAAAACCTCAGCGACAGTACCACTCTTATTAAATAGAACAGTCACTTTGGCAGATTGGTTTCTGCTCATAAAAAGCATGCACACAACTTTAAGTTCTGGTTTAATTAGTGTTTGTTCCAAAATCCCCTTAGAAGGTTGCAAACGTTAAAGGGACTTCATTTTGATTGGCAATTCATATTGCCCACTATTTAAGATACCTACAGTTTAAACAAATTTTTGTTTCAGGACCATAATGAAGATATCGTAGCTACATATATTTTTAGTTAATAATTTAGATGCTGGAACATGTAATATAATCTATGAATGATTTATAATTTTTGGTTAATGTTTGCTATGAGTACCTTCATAGGTTGAGTTAGTGGATTATATTTAACAGTCCCTTTAACCTTAAGTTAACAGGGTAAGATTATTAAACAGCTGGTACTTCTAGAAATGTATAGAAATTATTATACAGGTATGCAAATATTACTCTATATTTTACTTTTTTAAATTTGCTTTTAATTTAGTTTTACTGAAATTTATTTTTTATGTTTATTAGTGTTACAATGAAGCACTACTTGGTTATGTTCAAATTATTTTTTTATTTGAAGTTTTAATCAATGTTTTTTACCTTTGTCGAGTAGCCATTCATCAACTACTCGACCAAGTCGATATGGAATTCGCTGTCTAGCAATCGCCAGGCGCTCGTTATCATTGTTTCCTTTAAAGTTTAAAGAGACATTTCATTGGTTAAAATCTGTAAGGTCAAAGGTTAAAAGTTAATACTTAAAGCTTGAGCTATACAGTTGCCACATGATTTTTTGAGATTTGGAATTTTAAAAAGTGCTACCTAGAACATTTCATGGTTCCGACTTTTCATTCATTCATTTATTTTATTTTAGCAAACAAAATTATTCCTATGTTAATTGAAAATTAGAAATCTGCATTTGAGCTAGGTTATTAAACTTATGTTATAGACAGACCCAAAAACAAATTTAAACATCATAGAATGGCTTTACCAAAAATGATCATTGACCTCAGGGCTTTGTCTGTTTTGAAGTTTCTTATTAACTAGTTAAACATGTTCAGGTGAAACAGGTTTAATTTTTCAAAAGACACCCAACCTCTCGCTCCAGGTTAGTCATTTAAAGAAGAACACAAGCCTTAATCATCACTTACTTTCGCTGTCTAGAAATAGACCTTCCATAACTTTTTTCCTAGTCAGAAAAAATACATTCTTATTCACTTGATTTAAATAAATTCCAAAGATTCAAATATATCTTACAGAACAGATCAGGGTATCCACCATTTGTACACTCTAACAGGACACATCAACAACATCTTCTACTGAAGGAACACCAAGGCTTTGACAAAAGTAACGTACGGAAAGGCAACAGGGTTCTGAAATATGGCAGGGTTTTGAAATTTAGGATGAGGCCATTAATACTGGGCTTTCATAAATTAGGGGCTACCTAGAACTCGGCAAAGTAAAACAGAAACTTGGCGTACTTGCAAACTGTATCTGTTCTTAGTCTGTGCAGAGAACTGTGATTGCTTACAGTAAAACAACGAGAGGCAGAATAGGCCAGTATAGTCGGACAAACATCAGACAATGGACTAATTAGAAAATTGCTTTATATATCTATTTCCAATTATAGACATTTTTGTCTTTTATGAGCCTTTCAGAAAACCCTTCATGCATTACTGTCTTCTGTTTAAAACATTTCTCAGGAGTACAGCAAACCTAAGTATTTCCTTAAATATGCAGGGTTTTGGTGATCATATTATTTCAGGCCAACAACACCTTTTCCTTTCATTGTATTGGTTCATATTAAGAACCTGAGAAATAAGATCCACATGAGTAAAAAGCACTCATTCCTAATTCGTGTCCCACTCCACAATCAACGTCACTACTCAAATTCTCTTTGACTTCAATCAGCAAGCATCCTATAGCTGCAGTGGAAATGCTAAATCCCATACAGCAAGTTCATGCAGTGCTCAAAAATATGTTTATTTAAGCTAACAGCATCCTACTGCCATTTATCAAAACAAAGTACTACCCAAATTCAGGAACTCAATCCTGGGCCATTATTACTGATATCAGCAACATGTCATACCAGGGGGAGCAGGAAAGGACCTGTACTGAATCCCCCAGACACAGCAGGAGCAACAGCTTCTGTTCCAAAAACAAAGCAAAACACAGTGTTGATTTTATGCAGATACTTTTTCTCAGTGGACAGTTACTTACCCCATTTCACATCTCCTTCATTTCATTTAACATGGCTATAGTTCACTATGACACAAGTTGACGTATTTCTTTTGAGAAATGCCCTTTTCCCATCCACTTCCCAATATGGCATGTGAATTTCTATGTGCATTAAAGAGTATGCGTGTATGTCTATAAAATATATGTATATATTTTCGTATTTATATTTTTGCTCTACTCTCAACTTTCAAAAGCATAAAACAATATTTTAGGGAAACTTTTCTTGTTCTTCCTTTCCAAAGAGTAAATATTTAGAATAAGAGGCTTCAGAACATTGCTTTTGTGATGTGAGAATACAGAATGCCTTTTTTTTTTTTTTTTTCCTTTTCCCTTTCTCTCTCCACGTTTTCATTCTTAAAATCAAAATTCTTCATCCTGGACCTCAAACTGGTTCCTTCACATATGACAAACTCCTTGTGACTAAGGAGAAGCACATGAAAAAACCGTTAGATATGTCATGTCTCTTACACACACAGACGCACACACACACAGGTTAACAACTGACATTCTTGGACAGACGGTTATTTTTATTACTCAGCTTTTAGCTTTTACTGAGACTTGATCAGTTGATTCAGTAAATAAGTGAGAGATTGTCCCATTTCCAAATGGTTTACTTAAGACAAATGAATCCTGAGGTTTTATTCTTAGTGTTTCTTTTTTTTTTCCTCTATACATAAGAAAAAAAGGAGGGGGGGCATCTCCAACGTCATTTATTAAAAAGCCTAAATTGTTCAAAAGAGGTTTTTGAGTATAAATAATTCATTAAAACAATGGAAAGAAAAAATCTCATAAAGTCGATCATCAGATTCACTGACCGTTTACTGCAAGATATTTTGCATAAATAAACGGTCCCTGGAGCACGCAAGAATAACCAAATTATGGACTGATGATCTTAATTATTCTAAGTTGTGTCAGAATGAAACAGGATTTGCAACTTAATACACTAGGAAAGCATTAAATGCTCTGGGGTTGAACCCATCCACTGGGTGTAAGTTAGGAACAGTTGCTAGAAGGATGCCCTGTGGTCACCAAGTCTAGCTCTCTAATACTATGGCTTGCCTGTACTTTAATTCTCCTGCTAATGCTGAATTCATCTTGGACCAGGTTTATTCTACTTGGTAGCTGCTCAAGAACATCTCTGTGATGGTGACTGTGGAAACTCTGCTGTGAATCACCAGCATAAACTTACTCCTGCCCAGTTTAAACATTTTTTTGAAAACATTTTATTATAAAATGCATATGTTATATATTTTTTGAGAATCCCGCATGCAATTATAATGCAATTCTATCCATAAATTATGTTTTATTCTAAGTGCAGCAGTCTTTTACCACTGGAGCTAAATACAAATGAAAAGCAAGGAAAGAGCCCTTTGATTTGTAAAGGTTTCACACATACACACACACACAAAAAAAAAAAAATCCAGATTTTGTTAGCCTATCCCTCATTGCGGAAAAAATGCATAGTCAAATGCATCTCAATTTAACACTATTCTATTAGCTTAAATTCCTTTACTATAAAATATAAATGGAAGGGCTGGAAGGAAATGGTGTGGAACTTATCCAACTTCAGTTTGGAGGAGAACACATAAGTTTAGAAATAAATAAAGCTAGCAGATACACAGGTGACCCAAGTACATTAAAAAAACAATATAACAGAATTAACAAGCAGCATTCCAAATAATGGAAACAACATAAAAGCTACAAAAATCCTATTACTACATTGCAAAAAGCACACATCATCTCAAGGACTGCCTCTCCCCAAAGAGCTGTTTTGGGTTGACTACAATAAATAGGGTCACTGAATTCGGTAAAACTATATTCATTTACTTCATCCAGTGATCTCGTATCCACAGATTTTTCCATACGTACTCCTTGCACACTGTTCAAACTTGTTTTTAAAGCTATTTTTACCAATATTGTAACTTCTTGAAAATATTTTTTACTGAAGGTTACTTAGATATTTTCATGCTCTAAATAAACCTATGGCTTTTTTACTTTGCTAACCCTTATGAAATGTAAGTACTTTGGTATGCATGCTTTTGAACAGAAATTCAGAAAAAAACAACTAATATCCCTAAACAACTATATGCCTAAACTTTAATTGTAGACAGTTATGTGACTATGCAGCATGACACTTTCTTAGTTATGCAGCTGAAATTTCTTTGATTAAAAAAAGCTAGATACAAATGAATCACTCAGGATAGGCACTGTGTGATATTGTCTACCTCGACTGAATTCTAGATGGCTTCATTCTTCTACCAAATATATACAGTATTTTGTCACAACACAAATTAATTCTGTATGAGCAGAAGGGGATAACTCCCTTCAAGGGAATAACAATAATTTCAAGAATCACGGTAAGCAGAGAGGAGCAACAAAGGTCAAATCTTTGAGTCAGATCTAAATCTTGTGGTAAAATTGAGAAGAAACAGTCCCCAAAAGCCTTAATCATACCTTTGTATCTATAGGTCAGCTGGCACAGACCAACTATGTGAACTTCACTAATATGTATTTCATCCCACCTGATTTATTATATTGTCAGTGCTGGAGTGTAATTCCATTTTGTTCTCTGAAATAAAGGTGTCAGTTATTGATGTGAAATAGCAGCATCCTTGAAAGAGAATAAGAAGGTTGAAAATTGAGAGTCTGTGAAGAACAACTTAAAGCCTAGAGAATATTTTCTTTGAAACAAACCCTTTAGCGGAATACAAATTCACTTTGTTAATCCTAGTGATCTGTTAGGGAAATAAATAACACAAAATGATGAAACCAAGGTCTACCACCCTTTATAAACACCACCCCTCTCCAATTTTGCATATCATGATCCTGGCACTGCTGTTTCTGAATCATGAACCTCCTGACCAGGACGAATCTTCTCAGATGAAGGCAGAAAACTGTATCGTTCCTCTAGATGCAGTCAGGGAGGAATCTGACTGAAAGCAAAGGAGCAACATGGGAAGAGATGATGAAGGCTCTGCTGCAGAGGACCAAACAGCCCTTCTATTCCCAGTTCACAGGGACTAAACTAGGAAACAAAAGCACAACCTAACTGGCGTTGGGTAACGGCCCATAATAAAGCTCTTTCCAATCATATATTAATTACTATATATGCACACATGTATTTATGTTAGGATATACTGAAAACATAAAACTTTGGTTTAAAATTTGTGTAACACATGATTTTGCACATGCTGCTTGCCTCTCCCCAGCAGAAGAGGGAGTGATACTGTAAATGCTACTTACTGCAATTGCAAATGTCTATCCAGATTGCCCATGTAACACTGGCATTCGCACTGGCTCCATTTCTTGGCTATACATCGATGCTTTCAGCGTTGTCACAGTCCCAGTTTCAATTGAATGTTAAACATATGATACACTCAGGCTGTAATGAGCTTTCGGTAGCTGGTATATAGACATTCTCTAAAGCTATAATAAGATTCAAATTTAATTACTGT